TTTCCTTTTTTAGGCAAGTCTTTGTGAGGAATATCGTTTGACATCATTATATCAAAATCAGCGTCTCCAAGATCTTCTACATCAATGGCTTCTTCGTGTTTCCCCTTACGTCTGTGGTGTTTTCCGTGAGATTTTACGGAAAACTCGACGCCATCACTCCCGCTGCTGTCTGCCTGATGAAAATGAGCTAAGAGGCTTGCTTTTGTGTCTGAAGTGTTTGTGTTACTGCGTTGTTTTAGAGAAAGTAATGCATTGTTCGAAGAAGTATGAATCCGCACTGAGGAATTTGTTTCCTTATTGATCAACTGAGGACTGAATGAAAAGGTTGGATGAGATACCAAGGAAACGTTTTCGTTAGAAGATACATCATCTGGCTTGTCAGTCGACAGGACAGCTAGAGTGTGATGAGAATGGGTCCTTGGTGTTGTTACCAATGATTTATGGCCTACCAATTTATCGTGTGATCTCTTTTTCAAAGTTGCAGTTGTTGGATGCTTGGAAGTAGTCGGTTTTACATGTGGAGACTTGTGCTCTTTTTGTGAGACACGAACCATCGGATGGAAATGAGGCCTTTTTGCTTGCACTGTCTCAGAACGATTGGTCTTGTAATTCCTATGACTTTCTTTGGAAAGAGAGGTAGTTTTAACGAACGTCGCCCTCTTCTTAGTGGGCAAATAACGCTGAACATGACGATTCACTGATGGTTTATGTTTAGGAGATACTTTTCTATGTGCATAATGCATAAGATTCCCGGTGTCCTCCAATGTGGAGTTTAAATTTGTAAACTTACGTTCTCCTTCTTTTTGACTAATTGTTCTATAACTTCCTGACATGGTAAGTTTCCGATCGTCACGTCTTATTTGTCTTTCCTGAAATTTTTCAGATTCCAAGGATTTCCTGTGTTTCGTTTTTGAGTTATCACCTTTAGCATTCGAATTTCCTGGACTGGATTCTGATTTCGATGACTCATCATCCTTGGATTTTAAATGCTTTTGGCTTCTTACTGCATCTTTCAAAGTTTCCATTTTTCTTTTTTGGGATGACACTGTCGTATTGTTGTGTGCTGTTCCAAGAGCGTTCAGTGAAGTTTTACTTCCACGCGTAGGGGATATGACTTTGAATGTTTTTCTCATTGACGATGCCCCTCGTATTTTGTATTTTTTGCTATTTGTGACCTGTTTGTATTTTGTAATAATTTGGCCTTGTTTATTCATTCCACTCTGTGTTCTACCGGAGAGCGACTGGCTAGTTTTTGTGTCTCTGTTCTTGTCCTTTGGTTTAATACTCCGGCCAGATGCAGTTTTGAGGCCACTCAACTTGGCGAATTTTGTCGCAGTTACCGTTGACTTGATCATTCTTTGTCGCTGATGGTCTTGTCGAGTTTTTATCTTCCCTTCCTTTCTACTTTTAAGCTGTTTATTACTTTCAGTACTTTTCTTTGTCGAGTGTTCTGAAGTAAGGCTATTGCCATTTGCTTTAACATCGTGGGTTACTTTTTGACCTTTTCCATTTCGATCGTTCAGATTATCTTTTAAACGTTTTGCTCCTAAAGAGCTAACAATAACACTATGCTTTACCAAACCAGACTGACGGGGCCGTGTTTCAACATTAGCGCCATTCTTTAATCTTTTTTTGCCTCGTAATGGTCTGCTCATCCTTCTAGTTGAAACATTTGAATCCTGTTTTGTTTCTTTGTCTTGCTGCTGTTTTTGATGAACATTTACTCGCTCAGATTTCCTTTGTCCATAACCGTCCATTTTGCTGTTCTTTTTCGTGTTTAATATGCCGGATGTCACGTGTTTTATTCGTGGTAAATTTGAAACTTTTCTTGAGGCCAGTTTACTTTGTTCTTTGTTGCTTTGGTCACTGTCCTCCTCATCCGATCCAAGCTCATCCAAATCTTTAACAAGATCAATTTTTCTTCTCGTTTGCCCTTCTTTGTCTTCTCCTACGTAGGTTTTTTCCTGCATTGCACGATGAGTTATCTTTTTTACATCATTGTCCTCTTGGAAATCTTTGGCGTCTCCACTCAAAACGTCATTATTTTCCATCAAATCTTTATCGTTTTTACTCGAATCTTTATCGTCAAATCTTAGATCTCTATTTTCTCCACTGAAATCGTGATATTTTCCGGAAAAATCTATATCTTCTCCACTCAAATCGTCTTCCCCACTTAAATCACTATTTTCTCCACTGAAATCGTTATGTTCTATACTCAAGTATTTATCATTTCCACTCAAATCTAGGTCTTCCCCACTGAAACCTCTATTTCCTCTACCCAAATTGTCATTTCCTCCACTCCACTCTTCATCTCCACTGGTTGAACCCTCGCTAAAGCCTTCCGTAAGCCGTGGAATATACCAATTAGACTTTTCAACGGAGCTTTTGAAAGTATCTCCTTGATTCTCTTTGCCAGTTTTCATTGCTCCAGAATTAGCCCTGCTGGCTTTTTTAACAGTAACTGTCTTTTTGGTTTGTTCAAGATGTTTAACATCATGTTTTATCTTAGAGTATCCCTCAGTGCTAATGCTTTGGGCTCCACGTCTTGCTTCAGCGGTTTTTCCACCTTTTGTTGCCGGTGTGACCTTTGCTGTGGGTTTGATCTTAGAAGGGTTCGCCCTTTTAATCGGCTTGGCCGCAGAGCTCAAGTTTCCCTCCGCAAGTTTGAGATTTGATTTCGGATTCATATTTCTTCTCTGAGTTCTGTGACTCGAGTAGCCTTTAGCAGGTGGCAATAGTTTTATATCTGGTCTCATAATCCTCTTTTTAGTTGAAAGTTTTGAATGGATTTTGTTTTCTCCAACTGATGAATGCACTGCGTGCAATTTGGTAATGAAATGCTGTGGGTATTGAAAAGATCCTTTCGTCGGAGCAATCTGAAAATAACGCTCCTTGGAAACTTTGCTGCCATTTGTTTTTGTCACGGTTTTGGGTGAATTTGTGGTTGATGACATTTTGTTGGTTAGAGTGGTCTGCACTTTTACTTCGACCTTGGGCGAAGGATGTTGTGGCTTCGCTTGCGTTTGAGTAGCGACCTCCTGTTTGACGTCGCTGTCATCGGAACCCAGGTCATCCGGGTCTTCGTCTTCATCCAAGCTTCTGGACACCTCTAAAAGAAAACAAATGATTAGCGGTCATCTTGCAAAACCTGAAAAAGACGTTTTCAATTCAGAGTGCTCATGTACATGATGCACGAGTGCTAACAAATTGCCAGGTAACTAATTAAAACCATTATTTCATTCAGAACAAAAGGAAAATTAGAAATTCCACCTAATGAGCTGACAATGAAACTTAACTGCAATGCAGTCAGCAACCTTATTTACTTATTAGAATTTTTTTATAATCATCTTTTTGTTGTTGGTTTTTGTCATTTGAGGTAGGGTGAATTTCTTTTGATTTGGAAGCGGCACTAACCAAATGGGTTGTAGTACGCCCGTTCAAGACACACAAGTATATAAGTAAGAAAGCTAACTAAAGATAATAGCTCCTAATATCAGATAGTAATCAAGGCATTTCCTTTCTTGAAGTTCTTCCTTTTGGGTCATATGCTTTGACACACGATAAGATTTAATTTTGTGAAACAAAAATGAATAGTCGAAGCTTTACTTTTCGCCACAGAAGACACTTAATAAGTCTGCCTTTCGTAACTTTTATTTTACTAACCTTTATTTCGATCAATTATGGCAACTTGAAGACCAATACTGGATTCCTGTATCGCCTTTGTACTGTTAGTTTTAGCTTTACCTCCGGTAACGCCATAACACTCCTCATCTTCGATAAAAGATAACAAACAGCCACGTGATTTACAACACTGTGCACTACACTGGCCTGAACCTACGTCTGAATGCTGACGCAGTTTTCGAAACTCGTGCGGAGAACTGGTACCAAGTAGAAGGACGTGAAAACTGGGCACAAATCTCTGCGGACATCTTGGGTTGGCCACTTGTGAAGTGTGCCTGATAAAATCTTTTGTTCCTAAAAGTAAGAATGATAGTCATTAGTCATTTGTTTCTCTCACTGGCCGGCATTTTGGTTCTAGTAATTCAAGGTTAAGACGTTGAGAATACTGCCTTTAATACAAGTTAGATTGTTGAAAACGTGAAAGTGATCAGGGACAAAACTTAAAGTTTTTCCAAAATCAATTTGCGTGAGGGTATATTTCTTGTTTACGGGCCGGTCACACTTATGTTTAAAATGAAGAAACCTTATCCTTACAAAATCAATACATTGTCAAAGCAGTTACCTCACAAAGAATGAGGAAAATTGATGTGTCGACTTTGATGATAGACGAAAACTTAAAAAGTCAGCTGATTAAATCGAGAAACGCCAGCTTATTAATTTTACCCACTTCAAAACAATAACAAACTAAGTGGCTTAATTTACCTGCTGAAACCTTACAACACATCTTCAGAGAATAAGTTACGGTACAATCATTTTCAGCTAGGTATAATTTTCCCAGTGGTTTAAAATTTGTTCAAATGTCGCGAGAAGCAGGAACTTACAACACAATTATGACTTTTTTGTGAACGCTTGATTAGGTTAGGAAAACCCCTGCAGGGGGATTTGTAAGGTATTCTATGCCGCCACCTGTAGAAACCACTCTAGACCTTGCAAACATGTGACGCTATTTAATTCACAGTAAAATTTTACACTTCGCCGAGTTACATGAAACAGGGAACAAACGCTCAAGTGTATTTTCAAAAACAAACGGTGAATAAAAACATCTTTTATTCTTCCTTCGATAACAATGTTTTGGGTAAAACTGAACGATTATGAAAAAATGATTTTAAGAATGTGTGCTTTTGTATTCGATAAGGTTTCTATTAGAAGCCGGAGACATTACTTCCTCGATGAAAGTTTTCACATTCTTTAAAGAGGCTAACTATAACGTAACTGAAGGACTTAAAATAATCAAGTTTGCAATAACTGAATTCATTAGGCTTATAATTGATGATTATCTAACTGGAAATCCAGGAATCTATTTTCCAATCACTTCTTTGTTATTTTTCTCTACTTAAACAGACTTTTCTGATCATAATTTCGAAACGATGGCTCACAGAATTTAGTGCAAGGTTGGTCAGGCTTTGGACCTATGCAGTAAAGCAAACAATTCACCAGACAGGCGTTTTTGTAAGCAATATTTTTTCACATGGTTTGTTTAAGAAGAGAACCTCGGTAGACCTAGTTCGTCTTCTTAAGGAGAACTGTTGGAATCCTTCTCTTTCCGAAATTGACAAGGCTAATACTTTCTTGCAATTGGCCAATATTTTGGCATCCTTCGTTTT